TTCCTTGGTGCATACTATTGATGTGTTTAATATGTGGAAACTGGTGAGAATAAATCAGATTGCTATACAGATTACTGATACTTGAAATGCTAGCTGCTCTGACAGAGGAATGGTAACATATCTTTACATATGCCAGTGGCTAAAAGAGAACAGTCACTCAACCTTTGAACACTTGCAGAAATGTTTTCAATATATACTTCTCAGACATGACTAAAGTTGGAAAAGATTTTTCAAAATCTCTCTTTGTGGAATAAAAATGTGTATGTTTATTCTAAAGTAGAGTACTTTACCATCTTCCATTTTACCTATTCTTTGTAAATGTGGCAGTTTCTGTTAAACTCTGTCCAGACAAGATGTTTAAACACAGAAACAACAAACAAAATCAAAATATGCTGCTCCAAAGCAACTCTTGCAATACCTGTATGTTGAATTTCAGTTTCTTTGCTTATGTCCTGATAGGTCATTTTTTTTCCCCTTTGTTCTCCCTGCTTGCTTTGTCTTCCCCAATGGTAAGAGCACACGAAGTAGATACTTTAAAATATTGAAGGTCACAAGGTTCAAGGAGTATTCATAGCTATGAGTCTCTTGGTGATCTACCAGCATCTTTCTGAGGAAGGAGGCATAGCAGAAGAGAAGAAGCTGTGTAAGGAGCTGGATGGATCCCACTCCTGCTGGCTCTCTGGCAGGTGGGAAGAGAATGCACTGTCCCTGCATCCAGCTATTTAGGATTGTTTATTTTGTACTCCTGATGTTTTGTTTAGTCAGTGATGATGTGTAAGATACAACTGGTTTTGACTTCCAGGTAGACAAAGTCCACGAAGCAACCAGAAGTCCCAAACATTTGTTGCTGGCAGAATGCTAAATAAACAGAAGCAACACCTACCTGTGTAGGTGGCAATTAATCACATCAATCAAGCAGATCAGCTAGAAAAGCTTTTTTTTTTCCTTTTCTTTCCTTTTGTTCCTTGTCTCCTCCCACCTTCGTGTTTCCTGGTTGTTGCTCCTGCTGGCAGTAGATCTGGGTTACGTAAACCCTGTGTCACCTCTTCTTTGCTGGCCTGACCATTTAATGCTCTCAGCCTAGTTTAGCAGGGGACTCTCAGCCTACCTTTGAGCATGGATTTATTATCTTTCTGTATTTCTTAGAGAACTGAGCCAAAACTACTTCCTGTGGACCCACATATGTGGGCCCATAGACATATGTGCTATACTAATCTGAACAATCCTCTTGGAAAATTTTGAACTCACTGTTTTAGCTAAATTTGATGGAGAAATAGAATTTTCAAAGATAAGTTCCTGTGTTCTAAAATAAATGTGCACAGGAAAAAGTAAGTTAGTCCCAGGGAAAAGTACCATCAAAACTCTTTTTTTATTAGGCATCTGTAATAAACATGGAAGAAAGACTTTCTGAGACATGGGAAAACCATTCTTCAAAGCCTGGATAAGCACCTTTAGTAACTGCTTGAGACACACGTCTGCAGTTTTGTTTTCCAGATTTTTTTTCCCTTTTTTTTAATAGAAATGGGATGGCAATTTTTTATCAAAGCTAAAAAACTTTTCTTTTTCTTAAAATTGGAGGAATATTTTCCTAGTCTTCCAGCTTTGCTTTGCCCTTCTTTTTCATACTAGGCTTTAGGCAAAGACTTACCAATGTGAAATATTAGAGACTGCTTGGACTGCTTGCAGAAACATGCAGAATCCAAGCCAGTAATTGAAGTGACTGTGGCAGCTGACAGAGAAGAAAAGATGACCCACTGGAGGAATTTTAAATGTCTTTAAACTCCAGACCGTGGTTTTCTCAGAAGGTGAAAACATTGAATAAAAAGAATCCTTATTTATTGATGGATTGTTATTATAATATACCTAAAATTTTATGTGGAGGGAATTAAATATTAAAAAAACCCCAGACCAGAGTAGTGCCCAGTTTTCATTTCTACATATGCTGTTTCAGGTTCCTTCATTTTTTCCTCATTGTAGGATCCTAGGGCTGTTTTTTGTCATAATATCTATGCTGCCATTTTTCCCCGGAGCTGAATTCAACCCATTATTGGAATCAAGAATTTAGCTGTATATGATCTGGTGGGATCAAGCTTCCTATTCAGTAACCTTTCCTCTAGCTCTGAATCCACTTGCATGTTTTACACTTCATGGAAGAGCAATGTAACAGAACTGGCATTTGAAGAAAAGAAAGTAAATACTGTAAAAATGTCCTCCTGAAATTGTGCTCTCTTACACAAAGGAATGGCTGTGCCATGCCAGACTAAGTTTTCTTATATCCCTGAACCTTGTCTGCAACAGTTTTAAATGTGGATGTCTAAGGAAAGAGCGTATGGAGAGGGCAAGTAGCAGTGATGCACTTCCAGCCTCCTGTGGTTTGTGGCTGTGAGATTTCCGAACCAGAGATTAAGTCTTTCTACAATGCTATGAAAAATTCCAGCTGTAAAGAAATATCTATTTGCATAATAAAACATTAATTAATTATCCCTGCAATTCTCCTGTACTTGCCAGGGAAGAACTGTTTTATCTCTCTGGTGGTACTAATCAATTATTATGTAATAGGTTAAGATATATGAGAGCAAGAACAAAACATGCAGGAAATGTGCAGGTGGGAAACTTTTGCCGCTATCTGTAGCAGGGCAGATAACAGTTTATTTCCATGCAGACTACAAGTTTTGAGCAGTAGTATCTTGCACCTTTTGCATAAGCTTAGGCCAGCTTTACGGTTGGCCTGATTTGTGGGTACTCAGAGAATGTAAAATTGTGGCCTTATGTGGTCTTTGTGTGAAGCTGGAGGAAGTGAAGAGCTTCACTTGGTGGTTCAAACTCATAAGAACCTCATATTTAGGCTAGAAGGCTTGAGGTGCATGTTCCCACCCAGCATGCAACCAAGGGAGGTTTTAAGGCTACCCTGATCTTCATGCAGATAGTAATACACAGGTTGTCTTGAGGGGCAACAGAAATTTTTTATCAGTAGCTCACAGGTTATTTTTCAAACTTAATCAATTTAATTTCTTTAATGGCTTAGGCAGCAATCGACACTGTGGAACACTGTGGACTTGTAACACAGTGTTCACCAGCTTTTAGTATATTAAGTAGCTCATTTTAATTCTGTCCTAAAATGGAATCCTTTGCATCTTTCATGTTCATTACATAAGAAACAACCATAAACCATGACCTTAGTCCTTGACACTGGAAACCATGTTGAATAAATATCTCTTTTCATTGTGGTCCTTGGCAATGACAGGTTTCATTTAGTGAATTTAGGGTTTAAGTTTATTCCTGTATAAGTTATAACAAAGGCTGAATGCTTCTCAAAGCTTTAAAACTTCACTACAAAAAAAGAATTTCCTAGATTAGAATAGCTGATCCAAAGCATAGAAACCTCTTTGTCTACTGTATAGATTTTATTGCAGATCCAGTTAATGCTTCAGGGACAGATAACATGGTCAGATGAAGAGTGATGAAGTAATAAAGACTAAAAGTATGACATTCCAGGTTTTCATTTCTTCAGTGCTTGGTTAAAGTGTCAGTGATTTTTCCAGTGAGTTAAAAAATTTCCATAATTTATTGCTCTATATCAAATCTCTATATCAAATCATTCCACTTAAATGGCAATGGCTTAAGAATTCAGCATATTTTAGACTCATTTTGCTAACCAGAATTTAAGTTAAAAAAAACCCCAAACCAACCAACCAAAAACAAAAACACAAAAAAAAACCAAAACAAAACAAAAAAAACCCAACCAAAACAAAACAAAAAAAGAAACACTTGTAGAAGCCACTGTCTTAAGAATTACTTCACTCACACGAGGGCACAGCAGTTGTTTTGAAGGAGTATTGCATCCATGTTTGGTAAAACACTTGCTGTCTAGGAATTTATTTATAAAAACACCTACCTGACAATGCTTTAGCAGATTTTGTCCAACAACTCTGCAGTCTCCTCCTTACTTTGAAATGGAAGGCTACCAGAGGCTGACAGTGGTGAAGTTGGACAGGTTAGCCTGCCTACGACCGTGTCCCTGACTTGCAGTTTCTTTCAAATACTTTGGGCTCTCATCTGCCTTTGCTCTTCACATCTATGTACTTTTCAAGGTCATTTGTCAACTAAAGAATTTATGAATCTTGTGTCTGGAACACAGCACAATGGGTTGCCATACTGCTGACCTAGGTTTTTTATACCCTTTTTTCTCTCTCTAGATTAGATGACGTTGCTTCCACTAAAAGGTTGATTCACTTCAGTGATTGACAGGAGGGTGAAAAAGAGATTTGAAAGCTTCAGAACAGAAATCCCTTTACTAAATCAGGCATGTTCTGCTTTTTACAAAATTAGGTCCTCCAGTTCTATCGGGGATTAACATTTTTGTAACTCAGAAGATGCTGTACAAAAAAAAGAAATTTTTTTCTTTTTTACAGCTAGCAGAGCCAAAGTAGATTGTGCCATTATTTGCTTAGTAGAAAAACAACACTTGCAATCTGATCTTAGTGAAGTGTTTTTGCTGTGTTCAACTGTTGAAACATAAGATCAGAACGTAACTATGTAAGTGATAAAATGGATAACATTTACATCTTCTACCAGTTAATTAATACTTGTGAATTTTATAACAATTTTTTCTCCCTTAAATTCCAAGAATTCCATGCATTTCCACGTCAGAATTTTGTCCATTGATCTAGCAGCAGTATTTCTATGGAATATAAATGTGTTTTACTGATGTTCACAAAGGAAGGCTAAGAGGGTGCAGCCTAGTGTGGATAACCAGCAAGAAATGTGCTGCTTTTTCACTCTCTCCTCTTACTCACCTTGTCCTCCAGCACATCCCAGCAGAAGTAACGCTCCTTTAAAGATCTCTGCTGCTTGCCAAGATGTAGGACAGAAGTCTAATGCATATCTAAAGTCCCTTAAGGAGAAATAATTTTTAAGTGATGAAGTTCTACCAACCACTCAGCCGAGGAGCAAGGATCTCTTCATTCTATCCATCTCTTTCTTTGCAGACTTGTAGAGAATCCTGAAGTCCATTCAGAGACCAAAGGGAGCGTGCTGTTGCTGGAAAAAGAGAGGAGGTTCAAAGACAAGGGGCTTCATGATGCCGTGATTCTGTATGAACATGAAGGTAAGCATTACCCTCGAGTTTTTGTGTTCCCTGCTTCATCCTTTTCTTTTCTAGAACAGAGAAGAAAGAATATGCCCTCAAACAGCCGCATTCCCAGTAAAGCTATTTCCCTAAACTCCTTGTCTCCTGCCCGCCATTTATTTATTTCCTGCTTAAAATGCCCACAATTCTCTTTCTAGTGCATATTTATGTTTAGAGGGTGACATTTCATTGTGCCGTATGTTTAATAATTTTGTCTCTAAATGGATGCAAGATAATTTGAATAGGAACACACCTGTTTCTGCTGTTTTGCTTTTTTTTTTTTTTTACATAAACAAATCTGGGAATAATTTTCTTTGAAAATATTAATTTCAAAGTATCGTCTCAAGATATTTCAGGACTTAATTTTGAAAATGCACCAGTGGACTTGCCTTCAGAATTTTTATTTCTCTGTCCCCCATGTGACAGAGACAGACACTTATGTGGACCACCTTTCTGTATTTTTCCAAGTTCCCTTGATCTTCAAGAAAAATGGAACAAGTAGTGGAGTAAGAAGGAGTTAGTTTGCAATATTTGCAGATGAGGAGTAAATGAGGATTTTCTGGTACCTGATGTTTGAGAAGGAATTGTGAGAATTCATAAAGCAATGGATTCTCTGATAGAAAGGTACTCTGGTTAGGTTTTGCAGTGGGCACAAACTTCAAACCTCAGTTTTATTATCTGCGATGGTTTTGATCTAATTGCTGAGAAAATACAGGTAAGATTTCTAATGACACAAACCCAAGGAAATATATCACTGAAATGAGAACATCAAGATTTCCTTTTAGTCTAAAATGCCACCCAAAGATGCTTTTCCAAAGACTTTCTGGTTCTCTCTTGGAAACCTTACAAGCTTTTGTTTCCCCTCGGGACTTCTAGAATTTCCCTGTTTAGACTGGAGGGTCTCTGAAGCGGAGGCTGTTTTGATAAACTGTGTGTACAGCACCTTACACAATGGACCTCTGATCACAGCCTGCATCTCCACATTATGTCAATGCAAATAAATATATGAACAACTGTCCCTTGAACAGGAAGGAAAATAAAAATCAGATTCCCCAGAGAGTTGACGCATATATGGTAACCAGTCTCCTATCATAATAATGTTGTATTTGTTGAAATCCAAGACTTAGTAGATGTTCATCTTTCTTAGCATGGCAGAAGTACTCTCCCATTTTGTCTTATATCCTTGTGCAGAAGTTTTTTTCTTGTTTGCTTTTTATCCTGTTATGCCTTACACTAAGGGAGACTTTGTTTTACTAACATTTGTAGCCATCACTTTGATCTGCAGCAGGAAAGCTCAAGATCAGCTTCTTTGCCCATAGGGAAACAGATGAGATCAGAATATGCCAGTTTTAAAAACCTCACTAGATTGGCTCTAGAAGAAATAGTTCTTGTTCCTTAGTTAATTGCAAATTGCATCTTTATTTTTAACAAAAACGCTATGTTTTCTACACATGATTATTCATTTGTGAAAGCTGGAGGCTGATTTTTATTTATTCCTGACACACATGAGGTCCTTTGTTCCTTGTAAATAAAAGAAATGTTGTAGTTTCCAAAGTCACATTTACTGCAGGTTTCTGTGCTTGCTTGTTTTCTAATGTTCCTCTGTCAGAGTGATTGTTAGGAAAATTGTCACTCTTGACAAGTACTTCCAAAAATGTATTGTTATAGGTCAGGGTAGTGTAATATCAGATTGGGTGTGGGTAGAAAAGGTTTCTTTGTTTCAGTAAGTGCTGTGCAACTGCATCAGTGATCGTGACTAAGCTGATTTCAGACCAGCTTCCCTCCTTGCTAACAAGGGAGGAAGCGGGATTTATTCAAGGGCATTCTGGAGAACCAAGGAGAGGTCCACCAGAGGAGCAGATGAAGGCCATGCCAATTCTGTCGGTGTCTCCTGCCACAGCACTTGTGGTGACTGGGCAGAGAAGCACTGGCAACTGTGCTTACCCTCAGTGTTGAGTCTTTGGAGCACGGTGTGCTCCATCTCCTGCACCAGGACCTTACAGTCACAGGAAGGGCTCAAGTAAGGGTGTCTCTGTTACTTATTGAGTCTTCTGGTGGGTAAAAAGAGTCTGGATGTAAGTCTGAATGTGCTAAACCACCAGGCTCTTTGGTGGTAGCTGCAAGTGACTGGATATTGCAGTACACCTTAAGAAAAAGATGACTTTGCTATAAAAACTGAATGCACAAAACAGAGTGTGGTGGCTCAGCCATATCCCCTGTGCACCCATCTGTGTTCAGATGGGCCTGCAAGACATTTTCCTGTTTCTACTTGTTTGCTCTGGAAATGGTGGGAAAAGTCTGTCCACATTCTTTCTCTGCTACACTTTGTTCAAGGCAGCATGGAGTTTTCACATGATAGACACAAATGGCTGGAGAAGGATCCTCCTCAGTGCCAGCTTTCCTCTTCCAGATATTTCCTCCTTGCCTCTGCACGTGAAATGAGCAGTTTGCAGGAGTACAAAAAGTTTTATGGGCTACAAGGACTCAGCAGGTGCAGAGAAGAGTTTTACAGAAATACCTTTTTAAAGCTGAAAACTAATTTTCTTTGACCTTTTTAATGCCCTGTTTGTGCTTGTTTGCCACTGGTGTTCATGTTGGTGCAATTTGGGGCTGGGGGGTATAGGAGTGGTCACAGAATAATAATTAAATTGGTGTATTTGCAGCAAGCCTTTTCATTAGCACCAGAGAAGTGACTGACTATAAGAGAGAACCTTAAGGCATCACGAAAGCAAAAACAAAACAGTTATGTCCAGTCAGAACAACTCCAGTTGTGAATTTAGATTTTAACAATCCTTACTAAGTGTTCAGTCATTATTAACAAAATGATGTAGTAGTAATAATAATAATTTTGCTTTAATAAATATGAGAGCTCTGGCGTAGATGGTTGCCAACAGTAATATCTCTTGTATTGTTCTTTCATCAAATGTTACCATATTGTGTATTAGCTGGTTACCAAGAAAATCTATTATTATAAACAGAAGAGTTTCTTTATCCCACCATAGGCAAAAAAGAAGTTATCCATAATTGTCTTCACAGTTTATGGACTATATAATGTGAAATGGTTGAAGCCCTCTAAGATAGTACCTTTCAGTCTTCTTTCCTCCAAAGCATGGAGAAAACATGCCAAAAATTTAGATTTTTGTCGTGCTGGGAAACTACAGAATATACCCACGTGAGTTGTTCAGAAGAAGAAATACATCACTTTTCTTTGAAAGAACATTTGTATTTGCTGGCAAACTTTGTCTTGAACAAACATTGTGAAACTTTGGTTTGGGCAGCCATTCAAGAATATCCCAAAACTCTGTTCACTGGGAAAGATTCCTGTATTTGTGCAGCAGTTTCTAGACCAATATGGTCTCTCTCAAGAATCAGGGTATTTATGAAGGTAGCTTAAAAAAAAAAAATCTACCTCAAAACTCTAACTCTACTTCTAAAATCCAGAAAACAAATAAGCCAGCTGTTAAGGAGTGTGCCTGGCAGGTACCAGTGAGTTAGATGGTAGCGTGACTTTCACATGAACTTCCTGTAGATAATTCAGCCTTACAGCAAATCCTATAATTCTCTCCTCTTATCCATCTCAAATATTGCAATTATTGCAAATATGACTTGGGCATTTCATGAGGCATTAATCATCTTTATCAGATATTTGGCTCCAGAAATTATTTTGTAATGCTGTTTACTTAGTTACTCAGAGATGAGTTATTACAGAACAGTAGTGTTGGCCATGGGAAAAGGCTGAAAGGAGGTGAAAGGCTTTATCCTTTGCATTAAGAAGCAATTGTAGAATAATTATGTGGCTAGGTGTGCACTTTCCAAGGCAGCTATGCCTATTCCTTGCCATCAGACAGTGAATAACGGTTCCATGGTTTGTTGCTACATTTGGTTTTCCATCCAATTCTGCTTTCCACCAAAGTCAGGACACCTGCAAGGTGTAACTTCAATGGGAAAAGCAGCACCCATCAGCCATCAGGTAAAATAAAAAAAACAGGAATACAACTGTTAACTTGGACTCTTGCATCCTGTTGTGTGTGCATATGCTGCTTATAAAAGGTGCCGAATCCAAATCCTGGCCTTGACCGGAGGTAGATGCAGTACAGATCCCAATTGCTCAAATCCCAGCCGGGGTGTCTGCCCTGCTTGCAACTGCAAGGTTGCTTAATTGAATTTAATGAGGTTGTCCACATGCAGCACAGTTGGCAGATACTTGCCAGAAGCATCTGATGAGTTCTCCTGAAATTCTGCTCCATAAGGACTGGATTTCTGTCAACAGCAGTGGGTCAGGCTACCACACAGGTTACCTGTGTAGGAAGGTGTCACAAAACATTGTTTCCCAGAGAAAAACCAACCTAACTCTCTGCTCTTGAAACAAACTATTTAGCAAGTTTGGAAGAGCTGTCCAGATTTCTCCCCAGATATCTGGATTTAAACTTGCAATTCAGCATGTTACACAGAGTTAGTATCTACTGCAACATATGGGTGGAGTGTCCTCTGATTTTTGCTGTAATTGAGTAGACAAGAAAATTACAGCCCAGTTGTGTTTAACATTACTTTTTACATAGAATTTATGGCTGAAATTTTCAGCAGTGAATTGACCTCTAGGAGAGTGTGGTTTATCCTCCATAGCCACATAATCCTCCAGCAGCGAATGGAAGCCATGAACTAGACAGTGAAGCAGAGTCAGCTTCTTCTTCAGCCTGCACTCCTTCCCTGCCCCTGCCCTTCTCTGGCTAAGATTCTGAAAAATTAATTCCCCAGCAATTCCCCCACAGATGAATCTGGTGCTAAAACATGTTAAAAATAAAAGGAGCCATTGTTCCAATCCTCTGAAGATGAGTTATTAACCTATGTGATAGGTACAGGCTAAAAAACATGAGTGTTTTAATGTTGATGTATGGGTAAACTGTGAATATGTAGTGGGGTGGTTTTTTTTTTTTTTTTTTTTTTTTTTTTGAGAAATTTTATCTAATCTTATTTCAGAG